TTTTTTTTTTGCAGTATCAGGGATCGAACTCACAACCTTGCACTTACCAGGCAGGTGCTTATGCCACTGAGCTATATCCCCAGCCCAACATAGGCTTATGTGATGTTACTCCACATAAATATCCCTGGATTACCCCATCAGCTGTTTAGTCTTATAGCTTAGAGGATCTCTTAGATCACTGTAGGAAAATCAGGAGATGCTCGACGAAACAGGGTTCTTAATCTGACTGGTGTTCTCTGCTGCGTTCAAGGGCGGATGCTCCTGAATGACTCCAAGAAGGGACCTGCTCACCTGCACTACAGGCGACCATATGGCTGTGCAGTCCTAAGCATCTTGGATGTCCTGCAGTCACTCACTGAATTAAAGGAGGAAAAAGATTTTGTTCTTAAGGTTTACACGTGAGTAATGGACATCAGGAATGTTAGTAATCTGCAATATAACACATCCCAGAACTGCTCGGAGAACAGCAGTCTTCAACCCTTGTAAACACTAAATAACCAGGATATAAAATGAGGAGGTTTTTGAAAATGCAGAAAATTTGATCAAAGCTCTGAGGCAGGGTTCAGGAGTCTTTATTTTTTAATAATTTTCATAAGTGCCTCTGAAACAGCTGAATTTGGAATCTTCTATCCTAAAGTCAGTCTGTTCACTTTAGTCTAAGAGTCAGTTTCTAAAGAGAGTCTGTTCTCTCTAGAATATTTATTTCTTCTCCAGAATGAACCGACCTTATTATATATTTCAGAAAATCTATCTCATGTGCTTTGGCTATAGGTCTTCTGTGCCTAATGCTTGCCTACACTTACTGTAACTGACTAGCCAAAGGTGGAGACTGAGTCAAAGAATCATCCTGACGCAGGTTGCCTCATCTGAAGAAAAGCTAGTTTTTTCTGAGGGGCTAAGATTTCATTCTTTTCTTCTGCTGCTGCAGGACTAGGAATGGCATTAGTAGGGTCTGTCGGCCTTTTTAAGCAGCCCATCTCCGCGTGACTATTGTTAGACAATAGAGGAAATGGAATTTTAAAAAAGAGAAAGAATTCAGGGATATGTTCTGTCTTTGTTAATATTTAGTTACAAATAGTAGTGATAAAAAATTAACAGTGGTGAATTTAGTGATTTTTAGAACAAAAATATTTCTGATAATTTCTTCAAAATCTGTTTTCTTTTTGTTTTAATCCATATTGTTTTTCCCAATTAAGTAAAAAAAAAAAATTGTCCATCACAATGTTATTGTATCTTTAACATGATGTTATATGGAGATTTTTCTGCATTATATGTTCTACCTGACTCAGACTTGAAATTTAATTCACAATTACACTTAATTTTGGCTTTATATAATCAGCTTCATCTGATTAATTTCAAAATAAAAGCCCAGATGTCCTCATTACCTATTTTTCCTTCAGCTCTATTTTGTTTGGAGTTGTGTCCTTACGGGGTTAGGATCTTCTTTTGAAATAACAACTTATAAGGAAAAATTTGGCTATTTTTTTCTTTTCCATTCAGCAGTCCCCAACTTCCTTCATGTGCCAAATTTGTTCACTGATGGGCAGTAGAGCCTGCTTCTTCATATAGCTTCTTCCCTTTGAAAAGCACTAAAGAGAAATCCACTCCTCCTTATTGTCATCTCATTGCAGTGGACTCCTCCAAGGGCAAGGAGTGTATGGATACCGTTCTGAAATCGTATAGTTTTGCACGTATCGGTTGTGCCTTGCTTCAGTGCAAATCCTCAGTGCAGACGGAGGCTCGCACAGCATCCTTCCCAAATTAATGCTGTCAGGGTTAATTTGCCGAATTGCTTCAAAAACAAAAGCTTTCCGTACAAATGTATCACTTTGCAAGAAATAGGCTTCACATATAGTATTTTCTTAGCTCTTTCCTATGGGCCATGTCTAACACATCATTTCTAAAAAGCCAAAAGAGATAAAAGATATGTCTATAGAAAATATGGGTTTTTGAAATTTTTCTTTTCAAGGACTAACAGGCTTAAAATGTAGGATAATTTTTTCACTTGAAAATGTTAAAACAGACTTTCATACAGACTTGCAAGTGCATGTTTGTAAAATGTATTTTGTATAGTATTGGATTTTTCTAGGATTAGTAATTTTTTCTTGGTGCACATTACTAATAGGGAACAAAAAGATTCATTTTGACATTTTGGTCATGTATCCAAGATGTTTATGTTGTTTTCATTCCTGATACCCACTCTCTTCCTTTTCTCCCCCTCCCTCAGTTCTTTTTCCCACCTGTATAACTACTTTCTATTTTCCTGTTTTCTCTCATATCTTTAAATTTATTTGCAGGTTAACATGCTTTTTGAGGCTGGTGTACTTGACTTAGTATATCTCCATTTTCCTGAAGATGACATGATTTTGTTCTTTTTATGGCATAATAAGACTCCATTGTATATATACCACATTTTCTGTATCCATTCCTCTGTTGGAGGATCTCAAATCTATTTTCATAGCTTAGCTAATGTGAATTATGCTGCTATTAACATGCATATGCACATACCATTATAATATGCTCTCTCTAATTCTTTAGGGAACCTACTAAGGAGTGATATAGCTACATCAAATCATATATCGATTTTTAGGTATTTGAGGAATCTCCGTACAATGTCCATAGTGGTTATATGAGTTTACAGTCCCACCAGCAATGTAGAAGGGCTCCTTCCCCCACCCAGTCCTGGCCAGCATTCATTTTTTTTTTGTTGTATTCATCAATCATAGCCTTTCAAAAACTGGGGTGAGAAAGATCTCAATGTAGTTTTGATTTGCATTTCTCTATTGACTAAAAACATTGAACATTTTTTCATAAACTTATTAGTCATTTGTACTTCTTTTGAGAAGAGTGTATATTCAGTTCTTTTGCCCATGTTTTGATTTGGTTCTTGGATTATTTTGTGGGGGACGTTCGGTGTTATTTTTGAGTTTTTATATATTTTAGAAATTAATGGGAGCCGGGACGATGTTTCATGGGCAGCTGCCCCTATGTGCGCGCAGGGCCTTGCTGAGGTCTCTGGAAACCGCCCTTTGCGATTTGAAGTCAATAAAGGGAAACTGTCATAATTTATGTACTGTTTTTAAGGATGTCACTTATGAAGAACTTAAAAACCTGTTGAGTTCCAAAAATATTATGTTAATTGATGTTAGAGAGAAATGGGAAATTCTTGAATATGGAAAGATCCCTGGATCTATCAATATAACATTGCATGAAGTAACTGAAGCCCTACAGATGAACTCAAGAGATTTCGAAGAGAAGTACCACGAAGTAAAGCCTTCCAAATCAGACAGTCCAGTGTTTTCTTGTTAGTAGGAGTAAGAAGCAAGGAGGCTCTAGATGCAGCAAGATCTCTGGGCTTTACCAGTGCTAAACACTGTGCTGGAGGACGGGAAGAACGGGTAACCTATGAATTTTCAGAGAAGAAACAGGGAAATTAAATTTTGGAATGCAAGTTGGCTCTTTGTGTGCATGCTGCCTAGGACAGTGGAATGAACATAAGGGAAATCTAGTCCTGACACCAATGGTTAATGGTAAGGGGATTCTATATAAGCCACCTACTTGTTCAGTGTTTTTCTCATCTGTAAATTGAGAATAATGCCCTCCCCCTCCCCAGCTGGTCATTTGCAAAGGCTACTGAGGATTGAAATAATGGATGTGACTTGTTTTGGAAATATGCATTTGGATTCTAGGAGTTAATTTTTTAAATAGTTTAGCACAGTTCAGCAATATTCTAAAAGACTAGGTTCCTTGTACTGTTTAATCATGTGTGTCCATTTGGGTTAATATGGGTTCTAGTCATCAAAAAGGCAGTGAGCTTGACAGTAGATCAACAAGTACATTTGACCTTGAAAAAAAAATCAAGAATCTGGGATTCAGATTTGAACAAAGAAAATACATTAATATCATCCAAAGACACATGGCAGTGTTGTGACCAGAATAGCAGTGATAAAATTTGCAATTTAAAAACTAAAATTCGTATGATTAACATGGAGCTAGAAATCAGAACAGTGGTTACTTCTGTGGTAGAATAACTAGATGAGGCAAGGAGGGAATTTTCTAGAGTGATAGAAATGTTCTGTATCTCAGCTTAGGTATTCGTACATAGGTATCTGTTTTCAAAACTCACTGAAGTAAACACAAAAGACATACAAGCTTGTCTCTAAGGATAGAGAGACAATCTAAAAATAATGAAAATAGAAACAATGTCTACATGTAAGTGACTCTTACTAGCTGGGTATATTTCTTTGGAATATTAAATCTTAAACCTTTGTGCTAGTGCACTAGTAGCAAAATAAACCAGTGCTTTATCAGGAAAAAAAAAAGAAATTAATCATCTATCGGAGGAGTGGCTAGCAAAGATTTTGTCCCATTCTCTAGGTTGTTTCCTTTGCTGTACAGAGCTTTCTTAACTGATGTAGTACCATTTGTTGAGTTTCAATATTATTTACTGTGCTGGTGGGATGCTAGTCAGGAAATTTTTCTGCCTATGACCTCAGGTGTTTCCTATGTTTTCTCCCAGCAATTTCAAAGTTTTCAGTTTTATGTTCTAGGTCATAATTAGGGTTCTCCAGAGGAACAGAATCAATATAAAATACATGTACAGTTATATAACGGGATTTCTTAGGTAGACCTGCAAGATCAAAAGTGGAAGGGTTACAATGGCCACCGGCAGGATCAGAGGCAGAGGAATCCAAAATGGCTGTTTGCATGCTAGGGAGCCAGAAGATCCAGTAACAGATGAAGGTTGGAAGCTTACTGCAGAGTCACTAATAGAAGTTTGTGTCAGAAGGTGAAAGAATCTGCATTGCAAGCTCTCAGTACAAATGTGTCACTTTGCAAGAAATAGGATTCATGTATTTGCTTAGCTTCTTCATATGGACCATGTCTAATATGTCAGTTCTAAAAAGACCAAAAAAATGTGTTTATGGAAAAGATAGGGTTTTGAAATTTTTCTTTCAGACTTAGTAGACTTAAGTAAGATAACTTTTCCACTTGAAAATGTTAAAACAGACTTTCACAGAGACTTGCAAATGTGTGTTTATGAAATTTATTTTGTACAGTTTGAGATTCTTCTAGGATTAGTAGTCTGTACTGGAAGGCTGAAGAAACTGGAGACAAATATCCAAAGGCATTTCCTTATTTCCTTTTGTTATTCTATGTAGGCTACAAACCTATTGATTGGTGCTACCCACATCCAGGGTGGATCTTCCTCCCTCAGTTTACTGACCTACAGGTCAGTCATCTACCAGCACACTCAGAACTTTACTAACCTGCTAGGGAGACCTGGCTCAAGTCAAGTTGACATATCACAATTAACAATCATAGACTTTGATCCATTTCTATTTGACTTTAGTACCAGGGAAGAGAGAAAGATCTAGTTTCAGTCTTCTGCATTTAG